TTGTAAAAATCGACGCGTTTCAGAAAGGCGGGGCATAGAGGAGAAACAATAATGTACAGTATGTGGAAAATAATGTGTTTTTTTAACCTTAAACCGCATAAACACATTTCATTACACCAAATACACAAAATAATGTTCTTTTTAGCAACATCATATGACCCTTTTAAAGGGATAGTTCACCCAAAAGTGAAAATTCTAACCAACCCTTTAATGTTTAACTGTTTCTTTATTTGTGGAAAAATAAACTAAAATAATTAGAAAAAATTAATTGTAAAATGAATAAATAATTTGTATTTGATAAATTAATAATCTGTAAAATAAACAGATTTATGCTTTTGTAACCTATTGATTCTCTAATCATAGTGTTTCCACAAATAGTTAAAACATGAACAAAAGGACATAAACTGCAATGAAATTTAGATTTATTTCACATATTTACTCAATTAGAAATAATTGTAAAAAAGAAAAACAATTTGAACTTGATTAAAAATACATCTACAAAATAAATAGATTTATGCTTTAGTGAGTTGATTCTGTAATCATATTATAATAGTTTTCACAAATAAAGATAAACAAATTAAATGAACATAATTAACATGAAACACTGCAGAAAAAATAGTTTGCAGAGAAAAACGATTTATTCGACATATTTGCTAAATTAGAAATAATTGTAAAATAAAAAAATTATTAAATCTGAATAATTTGCCCAGGGCTATTATTTAACTAAAAATAAAACCATAAAAAAATAAAAATTGATACTTGGAATGAAAAGCACACAAAAAAAACTAATTTTATTTCAGCTAGTTGCCAAGACAACATTTCTCATTTTTGTTTAATTTAAACAAAAATAACTAATATTAAAAATAACTATTATTAATAAAAACTATGCAGACATAAAAAAATAAAAATAAAAACCAATAAAAATAACAAAAACACAATGTGTCATTAATCTAAATAGAGCTGAAATAAAATACATATAAATAATAAGTGCAAAACTTTAAAAATTAAAAAAACTTCACCTTGGCAACTACCTGAGATAAGTCTGTTGAAGTACTAAAACTACTAAAACTAAAAATATAAATATAAAGAAGTCCCTAAAAATGAATAAAAATGGATAAAACAAAATTACAAAAATTTTAACTAACAAACATTAAAGAAAAAACAATATAAATATTATAT